CCCGGCCCCACAGGCCACGCCCACCATCCCCACCCCGGCCACGCCCCCAACTGGCGCGTCGCGAATAGGGGCGGCCCTGCAAACTCCAGGCGGCTAGAGAGCACCCTACGCTCCCCGCGCAGACCCCAGACTCGGCCCCGCAGGGGCACACCCCGGGCACACCCCGGGTACGCTGCTACTGCCACTCCTGCATCACTGGTGCACGGCGTCGCTCCCACTCCCGCGGGCGCCGGGTCGTCCACACCCATCATGCACTCTCACGGCTCCCACCGACCACTGCTGCCCTGCGAACTCTGCTCATCCCGACAGCGCCCTGTGCGACCCGGAGCTGGGCCCTGGGAGACCAAGCCGACAGGTCTCCCGCGTTGAGACAGCCTACACAGGCTGTTCACAGTGGCACTTCACTCATTCATTGACTCTGACTCCGTGCTCGGTGCTGAGGCCGCAAAGAATGCGTCCAATTGCTTAAGGCTGGGTGTGGGAGATATGGGGAGACATAGGGCATGAGAGCTTGTGGGCGCGGACTTTCTTTTAGGGAGTACGAATATGCTATAAAATTAGATTGTGGCGATGGGTGTCCCATGAGTATACTAAACATCTTTTAATTGTATATTTTAAGAGGTGAATTGAATATTATGTGAACTAAACATCAATAAAGCTGATATTTAAAGAACCCAAGAGGCTCACAGTCAAGGGGAGACACATACCTATCACCAACCGGTGGAAACTCAGGGAAGCTGACAGCAGCTGCCCCGTCTCAGCTGGCCCTGGAGGAGGGAGCAGGGTGTGCATTTCAGGACAGAGCCCAGGCTCAGAGTACATTTTGTAAAGATGTGGCATAAGTGGCATTGTAAAAAAATGTTCAACCTCGATAGTAATCAAAAATGCAAATGAAAGCAAGGCAGAGCCCTGGAATAGGCAGATTTTTTGTTTTGAACAGCAAACTACAATATTCGTGGCTTGCAGCAAGACAGGCCCTTGAAGAAGTGTGGCTGGGAGGGCAAACGGGTGCTGACCTTCACAGAAAATAATCTGTTCCATTTCTAGGAAGTCTGACCTAAAAGCGAATCAGATTCAGACAAAGGTTTATGTACAAAGATAATTATCAGAGTCATTTTGCAATAACTTGAGAGCACCTAACAGCCCAGTAATTGGGAAATGATTAAGTTCTGAGTGCTATGCCATGATTTAATGATAACGCTATTGAGAATTGTGACATGAAAAATGCTATTTAGGCGAAAAACAAACCAAGATCTAACAGTTTCATATATTTGTTCCCAAGTATGTAAGTTATTTTTTTGAACTACAATATAGTAAAGTAACAAAAGCTATAACTTGCTGGTGAATGATTATCTTCATATTCATTTTCTAAATGAATTATTACCTCTACTAACATTATATTTAAACCTGGAAATTAAAATGGCAAAAAGTCAGCATGATATTTTCTAAGAAAATAAAGCAAGTGAATGAAGGAGACAGGGTCCATGAATTGGAGGGATATATAAAAAATAAACAGGTTTGGGGAGAGATGAATTTCATTTCAGACCTAAGGTGCTTGAGGAACCTGTGAAGTCCAGTACAGATGTATAGAGAGCTGCTTCGAGCTCAAAAATAGAAGTTGGGACTCAAGATGTAAAAATCTGGAGATCTTTGCTGTAGAGGTGGGAGTAAAGACACCTACTGTTCATCCCCAAACATGAGGCATCTTCCTTGAAAAGATCAAAGAGAACTGGCTAGGCTGAAAAGATGTACTGTCATTTTTCGTGCTTTCGAAAACTGTTCTTAAAAGACTGAGGTAGTACTCAGACATATAAAGTAACACCAGAGTTCTCATCGTGAATTTAGAAGTGTTTCTTTTTGGCGGGAAAAATGCAGAGCACTGCCAGAACCTTCCAAGATTGCTCAGCTGCTGGAAGATGTGAGACTATTTAGTTAACCTCCTCTTCCCTAAATTTTCTTTAAAACAATTTTCTCCTCCTCTGCCCAACATCTCATCTCATGAATCACCGTGACTGCTTCTGTTCTAGCATGCTTACACTGGCCCTCTCCCTCTCAAATCTGTATTGGGTACTTACCTAGAGAAGTGAATGTGCCAAGCACCCTGGGAGCAATAAAAGCTACAGCCCAGTTGGAGAAATAAGAGCATACTTAAGTAAAAATGAGCATACTACAAAACTAGTTAAATAAAAGGATTCCAATAACAGTTCACCTGCCCCACCTGCTCTGTTGCCATTCCTTTGCAAAGTCCAGGTGTGAGGAGGGTCTGCCCACACTTGCCAGCAGGCTTTGGGTCCTACTTTTGCTCATGACAAAACTGGAAAGCCCTCATAAATAGCCACCCTGGAGGCACTCAGGATCTGTTGCATGTGATATGCTGTGTCATCAAAAACACTACTACACCCTTGTGTTTTAGAAAAACTGTATATTTGTACATACACACACACACACACACACACAATCTGGAAAGGTAAACAATAAAGTATTCACAGTGGTTATTTTAGATGGTGGGATTATCAGTGTTTCTGATTTTCTTCCTTTTGGCTATTACAGTGTCTACTTTTCCAGATAAATCACCTTGCTTTTCTCATATGAGTTCATTTTAATTAAAACAAAAGTTCTGACTTTTTTTTCCTGCAGGAGCTAGTAAGAGTAAAGTAAGGGTTCGAGTTTAAATACCTGTTGCTCGAACAAAATACTTCACAACCAAAGAGACCACAACCACAGTAAGTCAGAGAAAGGATGTCTTAGTTCTTTGCTCACTGGGACTGACAAGGTGACCTGAGTTATGATTAGGTCAATCTTTCCAAACCTTGGTCTCTCCATTTTTAAAATATGCACATACTTGTATCCGCCCCATTTCCCTGACAAACATAATTTACCAAGGTGTGGCAGATATTTAGAGCACTTCAGTAGAGGCCTTGTGAGAAGCCAGTACACTACCAGCCAACGGTTTTCAAACATCCTAGTGAGAAAAACTTCCAATTAATATCAGCACCATAGATATGCCAAGAAAAAACCTTCCACTAGAAGCGTAATAAAATCTTTTTGCATCGTGTATTAAATTCAGAATTAAACATGTTTTCTACTAAGTAGTACTTGAAAAACATATCATTTAGATACCCAAAACTCTATACTTTGTCAAAAGAAAAACATCAGTTTTATTCTACTCAGGTACCATTGAATGATGTATTTCACAATTTACATTTAGGTTTCTTTCCTCAATTCCTATTCTGGAAAAAAAGGAAAAGAAAGGAATTGAAAAAGAACTAAAAGCCTTCCTTTTAAAAAATGAGATGCAGAAAAAGGGGGCTGGCTTACCTACACATTAGCAAATTAAAATTTATTATCAATTTGTTAGTTTGTAAAATATCAACTTATACACACCACAGGACATTATAAAGTAACAAGTTTAACTCTTCTACCAGTTATTCTGTTTCCGAAAGCAAATGACCTGCAAACTGGATAACACTGGATTACAAGTGTCACCGAAATTACGTTGGAAACAAAATCACAAATCTAACAGCACACGCTGCAACCAAAACCTTTTCTATAGATCTGAAAAGTCTTTTGGACGTATTCGTTGGGTATCAATTATCAGGCAAGGGGGGAGGCTCCGACCTGCTGATATTCTGCTCTCTTTCCCACAGGTCAGCACGGCCAGGTGCGCCATCCAAGTCTTTCAGTTTGGAAACGCGCATAACCGCAACATAAACGGTCAAATGTGACGTCAAAGCCTCGCTGCCTGCCCTGTGGACATCCTTTTAAGTTCTTGCTCCGTGGGCAGCCTGAGTTCCAGTTTCCTCAAAAGGATCGCTGGGCTCCGGCTCCTCTTCTTCTAACACCTGTCTCAACCATCCGTCCGCGCTGGTCTCCTGCCTAAAGAAGCACCAAATGACTAGAATCATGAGGGACAAGCTGAAGGGCAGCACCTTCCACCATGGCCGCTGCTGATCCCTTCCCAAGGAATGCTCCACCGTCCAGCGAGACGGGTTGGCTTTGCTGAAGGAAAACAGAATGGGGCGGTTGGGGTCATCCTCTTCCTCGCCCTCAACCCGGGTCTTGGCCCGAGGCGGGCCACCGGGCGGCAGATGCAGGCTTCGGGGAGCCCAGAGCATGAACTTCAGCGCCTGGAGGGCCCTGGAAGAGAGAGAGCAGTGAGTGCGTCGCTATCCGCGCCCGCCCTAGCACCGCCTAGACCGCGCCGGGGCTCACCGTGCTCGGGGTACACAGAGGACACGGCTCATCACCACTCCGACCTCGCACTGCGCCCGGCGCACCGCAATTTATCACTTCCGTCGCGCGAAACCGGAAACCGGAAGCCGTTCCAGGTCTCGGCTCACGACTACAGAACGTGGGTTCACTTGCGCAGCGGAAATGACACATGTTCTCTCCGCGGCCTCTTCTGTCGTAGGCCCGGTCCCAGCGGGTTACAGCGGCATGCTGGGAAGTGTAGTTCCATACTGGCCGAAGGGGAATTACCGGGCAGGTTTCTGAGCTGCTTTCGGCTGGCGAGAAGAGGAATACGGGTGTTGTCCTCCAGATGCAGGACAGAGCAAATGTCCCAGAGTAGGAGGGAGACTAAGCCTTGCACCTAAAGAATAAGAGGATCCTTTGGTGGAGAGCGTGGAAAGAGTTCAATACACATGTCAAAGTTAGAGTCAGAAGAAAAGTTTATTAGAAAAGGGATAATACTCCACAGAGTGTGGTCTCCTCTCAGAGACAGAGAGTGAGAGGGACGGTGAAACAGAGTAAAGTCACTGAGCAGGATGTGGAAAGGCAGTGAGTAGGGGCACTGAGAGGGACCCAGAGGGACAGAGACAATAGAGAGAATGAGGACAGTGAGAGAGACAGTAAAGGCACTGAGAGGGATCCTGAATGTTCAGGGAATTCAGTTTATATGTCATTCTTTAGTTCATGCAAGTTATAGTTTAAAAGACTTTGTTTACCCATTTCTTTTTATAAGAATGTACAGTGAGGAAGGGGAAGAGTATGTAGCGTGAAAAGGTAAGAATGTGTAGAGCGAAAGGCCTGCTGGCAGTTACCAGCCTTTAATCCATAGGTTCCCCATAGTTTTAGCCATAGAGAATGACACTGTTGACTCCTGTTTCCCCTTCTCAGATGTGGGTAATGGATTGTTAGCAATCCCAGAAGAACTCTTTCTTTGTTTTAAAGGTGTCCTCCTGGCCTGGCTTCAGGGCTGATCAGCATATTGCAGCCTCTGATTGTGGTTTGATTAACCCCTTAATTCTCTTGCTTCCTCCCTACATTACTCTGACAAGATGGCCTCAGAGCGGGCTTCCCAGCGAGCTGGGCTAGTCTGAGAGATCAGCTCCCACTGCCCACACCCTGCACCTCTCTTACTGTGCTGGCGCAGCCCCTGGACGCCTTTTCGGAGTGGCCTTGCAATGCCCCATTTTGCTCTCTTCATGGGACTTTAAGCCACAGGAATCATCTTGTCCCTTCAATTAGTGTTCCCCACTAGGACGGAGCTCCATGAGAACAGAACCTGCCCACAGGTTGTCCCCACTCCGGCATGAAGCACTATAGCTTCATGCCGGAGTGGGGACAACCGCTGCTCTGTGATCACAGGCTCACACACACTGCCTGGTGCTTTCTGTTGTTCTGTGCTGTGCACGAAATGATGTGTCTACACTCAAAGCCGTTCAGGCTGTGATGCTGGCCAAACCGCTCTATGAAACAGGCATTTTCCCTGCACTGCTGAATCACAAGGCCTTAATCGCTCACCCCATGCAGCACAGCAACCTACGCCTCTCAAAGGGAAGCTGTCTTGCACTCGGACGTATTTCCCTCTACTGGCCAGCAGAACAACATGTGCACAGCCTAACATTCATTCTGTTTGTCAGTTGAGGCTGCAGTGTGCTCCCATCTACCTTCAGGAGTCAGGCTGGGATGGTGTACCTCGGGCTGTACCCGGATTCCCTGCTCTACCTTGTTCCCCAGTTGGCTTCATAGGAAAGCTGCTGGAGCCTTCTCTCCCTGAATCTGCTGGGCCATCCTGTCTAAGGACCACGTAGGGGTCCAGGCATCATCACAGACTCTGTGGAGTAGTGTGTGTGTGTGTGGGGGGGGTGATGTGGAGACAAAATCGGATCATGAAGTCACCTTGTCAACTAATATGCTGCCTCCACAGCTCAGCATCTTTGCTTCTGGGGTGTCCCTTTCCTGTGCCTGCTTCCCGGCAGAAGAAACACCAGACTTGGGACCAGTTCTGTGACCCCAGGAACTCCCGAGACATAAGAACAAGGGTGATGGGCTGAAAGTATTCTGAACTCAGGAAGGTCTGGGGGTCCTCTTCACCCCAGGAAGCCCAACCCCAGACCCTGGGCACCTGCTCAGCTCCCAATACAGGAGTGTTCAAAACTGCTAAGTCAACAGAGGCACCTGTGTGCCCAGATCCTCCTTATTGGGCCCTGCTCCACCAGTTCTACTCCAATACCCCACCTAGAATCACTGCCAAACCAACTTGCCCACAGGGAACCGCAGGAGCACTCACTGTGGGTGGGAGGAGGGGGAATGAAGTGCAGGGAGGATGGGCCAGAATCATCCTGGTGTGTGGCCTGGAGGGCTTCCTGGAGGAGGTGGAGATCAAAAGCCCTGAGGTTAGGGGTGGAGCTGTTGACTTGGCTGATGCAGCCACCTGGTTGGAATGCTTTGAGGTATTAGGGCATAAGCTACCCTAGGATAGCAGAGTAGGGGCAGAGCTGGGAGACTTAGGCAGGATGTGGGGCTTCACCTGGGAAGGGGCCACTATGCCATCTTAGTCCTGATGTCTGCCTTGAATGGGTGAGAAAGACAACATTTTGGATGGGTGACTTAACTCCTAGAGTCTTTGCTTCATCAGCTGTAAGATGTTGTGCTTCCTTAGCAGGCTGTTGCTAAGATTGGTTCTGTGTCTGGGACACCTTTGGTGGGTTCCGGGACAGCTGTTACGATTGATAACCAGATGACATGGAAACATCCGTTCTTCCATCCTGAGACAGTGGAGGGCACCTTTACTGCCACCAGGTTCCCGGGGCACTCCGAGGCCAGGGTCTGGGAGGAACAGTACATGACCGCAACAAGAATGAGCAAACTCATGTGTTCAAATGTCCCTTATCTGGACTCAGGCCCTGTTGTCACTTGGTCTCCATTGTAAATGAAGGCATGATACAAAGGACGTAGGTTTGTAGTATTAAGAGGAGGGTGGCATAGTGCTCACAGCCGGGTCTCATGTTGGACATAAACTGTCAGAGGACATCAGCATTGGATCAGGCTGCTCCATGACCATGATGGCTCCAAAAGAAACATGACCCCTCTATGATCACATCTGAACACAGATGAACATGGACATGACCCTACCCTCGAAAAGGACCAAACACCCATGTCCCGGCTGAAGGAGGGGCAGGTGTCCTTTACCAGTCATGTGGGAGCCTCACCTCATTGGCCTTCCTTTTGATGAGTTAAAACGCTGCACTAGGACGAATAGTGTCACCCAAAATTCACATCCACCCAGAACCTCAGCGTGTAACCTTATTTGGAAATAGTCTTTGTAGATGTAATTCGTTAAAATGAGGTCATACTGGATGGTGAATTTAGGGTGGTCCCTAAACCCAATGACTGGTGTCCTTATAAAAAGAGGATAAAAGGCAGAAGCACATAGGGGGAGAGGCCACGTGAAGAGGGAAGCAGAGACTGCAGTGATGTGGCCACAAGGCAAGGAACACCAAAGATTGCCAGCAACACCAGAAGCTCAGAGAAAGGCCCAAGACACTCTT